ATCTATCTATCTATCTATATATAAACGTGGCCTAAAACCAAAGCCCAAAATTCCTGCACTCCAAAGCCCAATCTCGTAATCGTCAAGGAACCCATATACGTACCCTCGCATAAACGTCCAGCAAAAAGTAATAAACAACTTGTAAAAGCCTATATTATAGACCCTACGCGATATCTTGCAAACCCTTTTTTGCTACGGTGTCTCAATTCCGCAGATGTGTCGGGGAGCTGCTTCGGGATCAGACACAGTCGCAGAGGAAGGTGGATCAGCTGCTCATCATGTTGGAGTAGAGTAACTCTGTGGTGAAGCGCATCCTGGCGTCACTCGAGTGATCAGCCATCGTACTATGTGCAATAGGCTGGACCTGCTGGCAGAACAGAGCTCCAAGGGTGGCATGGATGAGCCAATCGGGAGTGGTCAAGATCGCGATTGATTTAGAGTTTAGGGTTTAGTGTTTAGGGTGCGGATCAAGCAATAACATTGCTGCCATTAAATGCTTTCGATTGTGCACAAGGCAGATGCTTCTCAACGATGTGGCACCCCCATGTGCACATGATGGGTACAATTGTGCACGAAGTGCTTTGCCAGCACATGGTATTCGCGTGGTTCCGGCATAGTCTGGTTGTTCGACTTACCTAGGTCAGATAGGCATGGCGAAGCGCGGTGGCATCAATCCTAGTTTCATTCAAGGAGTATTCAACTCAGTATTCCCTACTTAGGGGAAGCTCTGGGCAATGGGACAGGGTGTCCAATCGAGGTATTAAGCCTTGTAGGCCCTAATCCTCCCTACANNAGGTTCATGGGTAGTTACAAGTGGGTTATAAGTCCCCTGATATGGGTTATTAACGGTATAGTCACCCTTCTTGTAACCCTACTTTATACCTACCCATGAACCTTCTCTAGGGATCCCCATTATCCCCTTGTCTCCTGAACAACACCTCCCCCCTGACCATACGGATCCTAAAAGCCTAGGTTCCTTTAGGGTTTAGGGTTTAAGGGTTTATGGTTGAGCAGTACCCTTTTGCCCTTTTTATTTTGGGATCTCCTTATAACAAAACCGAATACTAGGAAAAAGGGTGCCTCTCTTAATTTAGGGGTCACTCAGGAACCTAGCAGGACCTGGCAGTGCCCTCCCCACTCCTCGTGGGTTTCTGAAAATTGCGTCCTCGTTCCTTTCTCTGGTTTAACCAGGTTTATATGCAGGATCCTAAACGGTAAGCTTTAGCAAAGCCCTCGACCAAAGCGACAGGTTTGCAGCGCAGTCTGTGCACTCTTGCCGGCCTCCTTGCTGCGTTGTGCTAGTCTACGTTACCATAATTGGGACCTAGTGTCAACAACAACCCTAAACCCTAAACCCTTCCTTATTATGGTTTTGGGTTCGGCCTGTTGCGGTTTAAACACCAAAAGAGTCGCTTCCGTTTGCCGTCTCATTAGGGCTCTTGGAGCGTGGGGGCAGAAGGCAGGCCCGTCAGGGCTAAGGTAGGGATTACTTGGAGGTTCATGGGTAGATATAAGTTGAGGTAGAAGTCCCCTAATGTGACTTATAAGTATAGTTACCCTACTTGTAGCCCTATTTTTAACTACCCATGAACCTCCAAGTAGGCATTGGTGTTGATGGATAAGGGCTTCACCCTAAACCCTCAACCCAAACCCTAAGATGAAGACTTCTTGTTGGGTCAGAAGGCTTTTGTGTTAGGATGTAGGGATGAGACCAGGGTGTAAAACTGATCCAAAATCGCCGGTATTTTGGAGATCAGGATTTCGGACTCATGATTTTGACATTCTAGGGTTTCGGGAAGCGTGTGTGGCGTGGTGATGCTTCCGGGGTTTTTGTTTGGGAGTTATGAGGCCCAGGAGTCTGGGGTTGCTTCTACTAAACAGTTGAATATATCAGTCTTAGGGTTCCTTTCTTTTAAGTATACTCGTCTAAAGGAGCCCAAAAACCCTATTCTAATTCTGAACGGACGTATGTTAACGATGCTTGTTGCTGGCTCCAGTTCTGTCCTTCCTTCTCGCTCTCTCTCTCTCTCTCTCTCTCTTCCCAGATAGGTGCAGATATTCCATGCTTGTATGTATGTATGTATGTATGTATGTATGTATGTATGTATGTATGTATGTGTGTGTGTGTATATATATATATTTTTAGAGAGAGAGAGAGAGAGAGAGAGAATCTGGTGCTCTTGTCATTAGGAGGATACTAAGGCACCTGCATATTGCACAGCGGGATGGCAAGTGTGATTGCGGTTTCTGTATGTATTAAGCCCCACACCTTAAACCCTAAACCAAAAAAGACTGAGCCCTAATAAACCTCCAAAAATAAACCTAAACCCTAAACCCCACAAAAATGAACCTAAACCCTAAACCCCAAAAAATAAACCTAAACTCAAAACCCTGAAAACAAAAACTAAATCAACACCTAAACATTAGGTACCCCCTCAGCCTTGAGAGAAGGTGGACGAGTGTGATGCGCGTCGCTTCGTGCTCATGGCAGCTCGTTGGCAAGAGACTTTGAAAGCCCGTAGCTCGGTTTTCAGGGTTTAGGGGTTTAGGGTTTCGAGTTTAGGGGTTCAGGGCTTGAGTAGGCTTCATGATCCCCCGTAGCTTCTGATGAGCCCCAGGGCTTAGGCTTAAATGTACAGGGCTTTAGGGGTTATTTGTGGTATAGGGTTTTAGGGCCTACAGGGCTTATAAAGCCTAGAGTTCTGAGCCGTCCACCCCAAGACTTCCAGGAGCCCGAAGCCCTTGAAGGCCTGCGTACAGGTCGGACCTCAAGATGGATTGGCCTTAATTACCTTGCCTTTTACGGCCTAGGGCTTCGGGGTTTAGGGGTTTAGGGTTTACGGTTTAGGGTGCACGAATTTCGGTTTAGTAGGGCTTTGGGCTTGGGAGGGCTGTGCTCCAGACAGTCGAGGGAGGGGAATCCTTGCTGCGATCGGAAGTCTCTGCTTCACTTGAGTTGTGCTTGGAGGTTCATGGGTAGTTAGTAGTGGGGTTATAAGTCCCCTAATATGGCTTAGTAGTATTGTTACCGTACTTATAAGCCCATTTACAACTATCCGTGAACCTCCAAGTGTGAGGGGTTGCAGAGTGGGGCGATTGAACGCCCTTCGAGGATATCGGGTTTCGGACTACTTGGAACGCCAAACACCAAGAGCCTACAAGGACCCCCCCAAGTACCCTTCAAGAGAGCCCTTATGGTCCTTAATAGTGCGTATTTAGTTATAGGCATAACAGAGGATACTTGGGGGGTGCGGGTACATCCTAAACCCTAAGCGCTGTATAGCTTCAATCGCAGCCTCCGAGGGAAGCTGCAGTTGATTCTTCTCGGCGTGTCCCATGCTCAGACCAGCGGTACTCACGTGGCTTTTCAAATGAAATGAAAGATGGACGTCGGCTATCACAACAGTCTGAAACTTAAGTCACATTCTGAGGCTTTCCTGTCATCATGCTGTGTGTAAAGAGCATGTCTGGAGAAGAGATTGCTGCGCTACCGGCCGAAGGCTTTCGCAACGTGCTGGAGTTGAAGCGCCACTTGCGCGAGCTGCATGGTTTTGCAGTGTGCCTGCAGCAGCTTGTGTGCGATGGCAAATGCTTGTCCGATGACGAGCCCATTGTGCCCGAAGATCTGCAACTGGTGGTTTTGTCTGTCATAAGCCAGGAGCAACACGACGATGCCGGAATGGAGCTTCTCAGTGCGACTGCAGAGAACGACCTCAAAGCCGCGCGCCTTCTGCTTCAAGCCGGTGCAGACCAAAACTACTACCGCAATCCCCGCCGCATGCTTGGCATTGACGCGGACCGCACCACGTCTCTGATGATGGCTGCAACAGAAGGCCACACGGAGATTTTGCGTTTGCTGTTGGATGCTGGCGCTAAGAAGGACCTGAAAGACTTTAGAGGCAGGACAGCTCTTCACATGGCAGTCTTTGAAGGCCACACTGAGACTGTGCGATTGCTGGTGGACGCTGGGGCTGATAAAGACCTGCGGGACGATTACGGCAGGACGGCTCTAACACTTGCAGCCCGAATGGCCCGCCCCGAGATCTTGAGTTTGCTTGTGAATGCTGGCGCCGAGAAGAACTTCCGGGACAGCTCCGGCATGACAGCGCTTATGTACGCAGCACGAGCGGGTAATGATGTGGAAGCTTGTCACCATGCAGCCCCAACAGCCTACTTAGAGACTGTGCGTTTACTGGTGGAGGCAGGTGTTGACGACAACATGCGGGACAATAATGGCATGACAGCTCTCATGCATGCAGCCCGAAGCGGCCGCACTGAAATCTTCTCTTGCTTATGTAGCGGAAGCACAACATGCTGACCACGACTGGACTCTGGCGTTAAGAGCAACTTCCGGGCATTTCTGGCCAGCTTAGCTCTTGCAAAGGTTGCGATGGCACGCAGCCGAAAGATCTTGCGCTTCCTGGGGGAAGCAGGCACTGATATTGACTTCCTTTAATTGCGCGTGTCAGCGGTCGTGCTGAGACCGACAAACACAGTGCAAATTGGCATCTCATGCCGTTGTCAGATCGAGCCAGGCGGCACTTGCACTGAACAGTAGTGCTCCACTTGAGGTTCGAAAGAGGGCGATCAGTTTTCTGGCGATGGCTGCATTAGATCTCCAGCTTTTCCATATTGGTTGCCTTCACCCCAAAACCGTTTATAGTGTGCACCTACAGGCCATTGGGGTCTGCCTTTTCATCGCAATCCCTGCCGTCTTATGGTTTGCAGGTTGCAGCTCCAAGAACCAATCTACTGGGATCATACGGCGTAGATTTTCGGATTTAAAAGGCTCGCTTGGGCCATAAGACTGTAAAATCCAGAACCCCTGAACGTATATACCCCAGCACGACCTTGCGCGCAACACTTGCGTCTCAGCACCCCTCTTTCAGGATCAGCTACAGCCATCTACAGCCCAAAGCCCCTAAAAAAACAAAACAACGAAACACTAAAATCCTAAAATACCCTAAACCCTTTAACCCCCAGGGTTTCTTTGCCTGTAGGGTTGGTGCACTTACGCCTTGCATGACGACTGTGGGAGCCAGCAGGATCTCGAGAGGTAATGTAGCTGTGTTCATGTGTGCCAAGGAGATCGGACTCTCGGATGACCATCCGGATGACACGGAGATCAAACAGAAGGAGGCCTAAACCCTAAACCCTAAACCGTACCCTAAGCCCTAGACCCTATATCCTAAACCCCTAAATCCTATAAACCCTAAATCCTAAACCCCTAAACCCCTAGACCTCTAAACCCTAAACCGAGGCGTGAAAAGCGGAGCTTGCGATCCCTGGGGCCTCAGCCCATTGCCCGATGTACGTGTGGATGTTTGTAGTGCCAGCAACCAGGACCCCAGAGTTTAATTCAGGAATATGCCTTAGATCATAATATTAAGGCCTCTATAGTTTAAGGTATATTCCTTAATTAAGGGGTATTGGGTTCTCTGGGACCCTCCTTGTTCCCTCAAATAAGGGTACTTGGAGGTTCATGGGCAGTTATAAATGGGGTTATAATTAGGTATTAGGGGACTTATAAACCCCACTTATAACTACCCATGAACCTCCAAGTACAGGGTCCGTGTTTAGGGTTTATAGCGTTTAGGTGGTATTTAGGGTCTTATAGAGGGCAGATGGACGGTTTAGGAATCTCCATTCAGCCCCATCAACCCCCCCACTAAAAGCCTAAAAAGAAAAAAGAGGACCCCTAGATTCGTAGCATGGGTATTTGCGCGTCAACCATGGAGCTCGGAAGGATCTGGATTTCGATGAGCCGCGCAAACTGCGAAGTTGCGAAGTTCCCTCAACCCAAAGGCTCCGCAAGTTGTCACCCTGCAACCCGCAACAGCCAGATTGTAACTATAGGGGCCTAAATAGTCACCAATACTATTTTGCGGAGGTTCCTTATTTTATTGTTATAAGTATAGCATAATGCACCCCAAAACCCTACTCACCGTTCTGATTATTAAGGCCCCTACATTACTTCTTGACAGGAGATCCCGGATGCCTAGGCGGCTCTGAGGAACTGGACACGAACCCTGGCCCCCGTTACGTAGAAAAAGCCAAAGGAAAGAGGTCCGCATAATTATGCAGAGCCACAAGTTAACCTCCCATACAGTTATGCAGAACGCTCGCCATTTCCCTAAACCTTTGAACCCTTTTTGCGGGCTCAGGAGCCTTCGGATATAGACTTGCCCTCCAGGTGGTCGACTCCCTCTTACCCGCCGTGCGACGGCAACTGCGTCGACTAGTCGGTGAAGCCCCGAAGCCGCTCGGTCGGTCGCGGGTGCTGAGTCTTTCTATAGGGGTAACGTAGTTTACAGTCAGGAGCCGATAGTAAGGGAACAAGATAACCAGAAAGAAGTGCAATGATTTTGCGGTCTGATATCGAGGAGGGAGCAGCTAACAGTCGTAGCTATTCCCTAATTTTATAATGCTTACACTATTGTCCCTATACATGTTTTAGCGGACTCCACTCGGGGCCTGAAACAGAGACTCGACACGATCTTTGCAAAGCTATGATACCATCAAACTCCAGCTGCCAAGGCCCAATCCCAAGTAATGGGTTTAGGGTTTAGGGGTTTAGGATTTAGGGTTAGGGCCAAACCCAAAGATCTGGAGCCCTGCCCACACCTCAAACAAACAAGCCACTTCTTCACCTTACTTGGGGCTTACGGAGTTTAGGGATCGAAGGCTTTAGGGTTTAGGGTATAGTGCACGTCTACAGGCTTTCAGGAACGCGCCTACTTGGAGTTGAACCTCGGTTTTATCCTGGCATAGCCGTGAACTGAACCCTAAACCCCTAAACCCCCAGGGGTTTAGGGCTTAGGGGTTTAGGGGTTTAGGGTTTAGGGTGTCATAAGGAGCTCAACAGGGATGCACTCTAAGATCGCCACCAAAAGAAGTTCTACGTTGGTTCATTGGGATCAAATAAAGGCCCAGGCCTCAGACGCAAGTAATGTAGAACAGCAAGATCCTCTGGCAGCAGCTAAAGCCCGAACGAAATTCATACTTCCGCCAGCTTAACCCAAACCGAACGCCCCAAGCCTCAAGTACAGAACTTAGACATCCCCCAGTACCTACAAGTCACCCGGAGACCTCCAGGATATCCAGCCCGAAAGCCCCAAACCGTAAAGCTTTTACAACTCTCGCTGGCCTTAGAAAGCTCTATACAGCGCCAAAATGCCCTCTTACCTTTATACACTTCCATATAGATCCCTGATTAAACAAGTTCAAGAAGAACTGGGATTGGGACCGTAAACCTGCTAGAAGCCGTCGGTGCGTTCTCTCCTGCAGGCGCAATGCACCCGAGCTCTGCAGGAACTCTGACGAGGTGGGATGCTTACAGTCTACTTGGAGGTTCATGGGTACTTGCTTATAAGTATAGTTGCCCTATAATTATAACCCCATTTATAAGTACCATGAACCTCAAAATAGTACCCTGACATCAGCGCAGCTTCTGGAAAAGTCGGGTTGTTTAGGGCTTGCGCTGTTCAGCATATCACGGTTGAGTGCCTGCAGAGAGATCGTGGGAGTTTTGTTGGACTACCTGGTTGACAGCATGGAACAATGAGTACGTCTTTTGTAAGAGCTTGCTTGTATATCATCATAATGAGGTCTACCCCCGAACGTTTCGGAGTGGTTGGGTTGATTCGAGGAAGGTCTCGGTATGAAGGCTACACAGGGGCCACTATGTCATGCTCGCGAGGAGCCCACGTCCGATGCTTGCTACTTCGAGAAACAGAATTAGACATCGGCCGTCGAGGGCATCCGATCAAAATCTATAGTCTACACAACCGAATTGAACATATTCTTCCCTGAGCTTCCCGGGTCCCCTGATGGATGGATAGATAGATCGATAGATTGGTAGACAGGTAGATAGATAGATAGATAGTTGGATAGTCAGATTGTCAGATAGGTAGTTAGATGGTTAGGTTCGGTAGAGAGATAGTCAGGCTAGACAGATAGAGCATATTAGATAGCTAGGTAGAGAAGGTAGATAGATAGATAGATAGGTAGATAGATCGGTAGATAGATAGATAGATAGATAGACATATATATATATAGACAGGTATATAGATGTACAGATAGTCAGATAGTCAGATCGCCAGATAGGTAAATAGACAGATGGGTTCGATAGAGAGAGAGAGAGAGAGTCAGGCTAGCTAGATAGATCATGTTCGCTAGGTAGATAGATCGATCGATACTAGATAGATGGATAGATAGACAGGTATATAAATAGATAGTTAGATAATCAGATCGTCAGATAGGTACTTAGCTAGGCTCGATAGAGAGATAGCCAGGCTAGATAGGTCATATTAGATAGCTACGTAGATAGATAGCTAGATAGACAGATAGTTTTGATAGACAGATTCAACACCCCAAGAAAATTCCAGGACAGATGACCAGGAAAATACATTTTAGCCAGATGGAGCCTCCAATAGCATAATATAGGAGCCGGAACAACTATAGTGACTAGTCATATGATCTCTAGGGGTTCCTTCTGATACATACACCATTATCTACTCCAAACCCTATTCTGAGTATTGAGGCGCCCATGTTAGATTGTAAGTGATTCCCTAAACCCTAAACCTAAACCCTAAACTGTAAGTAATTCCCTAAACCCTAAACCGTGGCCAGGGGGAGTTGAAGCAGTGGTTCCAGTTCTGGGACACCCGGAACACCGGCGACATGGCTGCGAGGGTCCAGGCGGTCCAGGAGACGCCGGTTCGTGGACCTGGGGTTGCGTTACTAGATTCTTTCGGAGCCAAGAAAAGGCATTCAAGACCCACAATGTGTAGCTTAACCTTAGAGGTGAAGTTTCTGAAATGGGGATTAGAATGGCTTCCAATATTGAAAGGGTGAAGAACAAGCAGAACGGAAGCGAGACAACGAGACCTGGAAAGAATATGTGAGAAGAATGAGAACAACAAGTTAAGACGTGCGATCAACACACGACCCGTATGAGCTTCATTCCTCAATCCATCTACACCAAGGCTTCTTGGACCACGCGACACTGCATTTGGCCGTGACGACGGCCTTTCACACTGCCCTCGCCAAGAATGCTGACCCCTCGACGAAGGTGGATAGTCTCAAGACTTTTGCCAGGTGTTCATGCCAGCATTGTTCTCGATCGTGGTTTGCAAACTGGCCTATCCATCTTTCCTTGGGGAGGAGGTGAGGTGAGGCAGGAGAGTGTCAGGAGGGTGGGTGCTTGGCGGTTCGTGGGTAGTTACAAAATAGGGTTATAAGTAGGGTAACTATACTCATAAATCATATTAATAGGTGACTTATAACCCCCACTTGTAACTACCCTTAACCCTAAAC